CATGAAAAAATTCCAAGTTGGTCATTTTGACCATTTTGGTAATTCTAATGTGTTAACTTGGTGTAAAATGAATATTAACTTGTCCAAAACCAATTAATTCATGATTATACCGTATTTTCACATACCGTGGAAACACACTTCTAAAGTAACAAAATTTCGAAAGTTAAATTTCAGCTTTCGCTTTTAAATTCAATGGGCAATCGAGTTGGAAATTTATCGAGAAAGTCTAGTCATGCTGCTCGTACATCATTCGCCGACATTGACCCAAGAAATCCACCCTCTTTCGTTCCCGCAAACCAATAAACCCATCCCAAACTCTCCCCGTCGCTCAAGCTCCTCACCGAATCAATAAAACCACCCTTATTTAACCAACCAATCCTTAACAGCACTTCCATCGTCAACCCCTAACGACCACCACCACCACCATCACGTTAAAAACCAACACCATAAAATCCTCCTCCCTTTCACTTTCGTTGAGAACCTTTTCCTATTTCCGATCAATCCCTTGGCTTTCTTTCTCCAACGTGGCCGTTTCAAAGCCACCTGGCGATGCGGTTCGATCGGGCTTGACCAAAGACCACTGTCACGTAAGCTATCGATCCCATCGGGAATTACCAGGACACCATGAACGAACGAGAGCTCGCGCCTGGCAAAGCTCGTGGCCGCGATTAAACCGCAGGATGAAAGGTGGATGAAAACAGGGGATCCACCTACCGCTGGTGTTGGGGAGGTCGGTTTTCTCGCAGACCACTCCGCGGAGAGTGGATTTGTTTGCCTCAAGGGGGGTAGGTTTGCGAAGGGGGTAGGTTTCAAGAGGTTGGTCGCGAGAAATGGGGTGTATCGGCGTTCGAAGACACGCCCGGAGACAAGATTTAGTAAACAGAGGGACTAAGGGAGCACGTAGGGGTAAGAAGTAGCTTCACGATGGATGGTGGATGAGGTTTGAAAGGGAAAACACTTGGCCAACTGCCTGCACTGGCCATGACTTTATTGTCCACCAGATTTTATTGACAATTGTACTTCACGGGGAAACAATCGATCCAGTTCAGGATTAATTGTAAACAAAAGAGTGGAAGATCTTCCCATTCGGTCGACTTAAAGTTGAGTTTCAACAAAAGACAGGGAAAAATCTCGCCCGGTCGGTCATGCAGAGATTTACATTAAAGCGGGGAGATTAAATGTTAAGCTGAAATGCGACTGTAGTGATGAACACACAGTGCGATCGTGTAAAACGTCATCGTGTAATCATAAAGTATGGGTAAATATTTAGTAAAAGTTCAAATAGAGCACGGAATATGGTCGTAAGGCATAATCATCGCATGAACGCAATCGTACAATCATGAAATATCTAAATGTTCGGGTACTTACGTGAGCAACCATGGACTACCGTACTTTCATGTTCCACTTTTGTTCGTCAGAAAACATAAAAAAAAGCAAGTACTTATGTATCCACGCTGTCATGTAACGTGGCCAGTGCGTACGTACGCGTTACATAATTGACGGGAACGACTGTTCCGTCTGATGAGATAATAAATTAAAACGTCGGTTCGGCTGCCGCGGAAGGAAAGTGATCGATTCAACTGCTTACTTACTATTTTACTGTTTTCTCGG